ATGGGGGAGGGAGGGGGGCAGTTTTGCGGTTAGGTAAGTTATCCAAACATTCCCTTGAGTACATCTGTGTGGAGGTGGAGACTCCGTAGTGAAGCGACCTGCATCAACGCCTGCCTACCAGGCAACCTCTGAGAACGGATGAGTAACTGTTGCCTAGTGGGCGGACGTAGATGCAGCCGGCTCCATCCGACTCCATCATAGATACAGGTGTATTCGTTGGAAGTGCTTTCTAACTGAAATCGCGGAATCGTTAAATCGCAACACGGGCGCGCGCCCCATGCGCATAGGCCCGGCGACAGGATACGGAATTGCTGTGGAAAAACTGAAAATCACTTTATGTAACATAATACAAAGCTCTTTGCTACGTTCGTGAGCGTTTGAAACATCGGATATACAAATTATTTTACTTATATTTCTTTTAGTAACATGTGTTACACAAATACTTTGTGCTTTGTTAACAGCTGTCACGGATTTTAGTTTATGCAACATTTGTTACATATACCACTTTATGTAACAACGGTAACGTAAAATTGGGAATGTAACAACTGTTATACATGTACACATACGTGTTGTTACATTGAGTAACTTTCAGTGAAACGTGTCGAATCGAAACGGCTTTTTTTTCCTTTTAATCTAGACCTGGTACCTTAGGATGGGCCCGCGTTATTCCCAGTCGGGGTGAATATTTTCCCCTGCGTTAGCATTCGCTGGCGCGTCCTTCGCCTTCGTCTGGCCTTGGGCTTAACCCACATCCTCTTGTGTTGCAGGTGCGGGGGCCGCGTGGAGCGGTGCGCCCCAGGGCCTCGACGGGGCCCTCGACGGCGCGGACGCCGCCCTGTACCTGCCGCGGCCTAGACCGCCGGCGCAGCGGCCGAGCGCGGGGGCGCTGCCGACCCCCGCCTTCGCGGAGGAGCCGCGCGACCTGGTGGTGCGCAAGGGCGCCGACGCCGTGCTCGCCTGCCGCCCCGGACCGCAGTTCGCCTCGTGGCCCGTGTCCTGGCGCAAGGACGGAGAGCCGCTCCCGGCCAACGACAAGGAGCACTTCGTCGTGGACCGCGCGGGCAACCTCGTCGTGCACCAGGTGTCGCGGAGCGGCAGGGACGCCGGCGAGTACCGGTGTGCGCTGCGCGGCCCCGCGGGCACCATCGTGTCCAGGACGGCCACCCTGCGCGTCGCATGTGAGTTCCACAAGCACACGTCCACATCCGCAATCTAAGAGACAGTTTTACATATTGTGATTTAACTCTTTTCCAGCACTCTCACAAGCAGTTCAAGGCCCTGATAGCGTTATTGTGCCGGTGGGTGGGACGGCGAGATTTTCTTGTATCATCGACTCTGTCCCCGCCGCCAAGATCACGTGGAAGAAGGATGACGGGCCACTACCGGCTAGCTCCAGGTAGGCCCTCTCGTTTCCTTCAGTAATCGTTTTCTGATCCCTTGGAGCATCTTGTACTTACTTCTGGACACTTTTCTAACTTTTTTTCAGATTTGTCATACTTGCCTCTGGTGTGCTTCTTATTTCGAAAGTAGATTCTGCGGATGAAGGGCAGTACAAGTAAGAAAAATAAATATTTTTATGTCTTGCACAATGCTTTGGGAATATTTGTTACATTTGCATGGTCCCATTTACAGATGCGTTGCGACAAATAATGTGCTACGAAGAACACGAGTGAGTAATGATGCTTCACTAACAATAGGAACTCCATCTGAGTGGTCTCAAAACAATTTTCTTTCTCAAAGAAATGTTATTCAAAGTATCCAAGGAGAAAATATTTCTTTAGAATGTGCTGTTAGTGGAGACCATGTCCCTCGATGGTTCTTGAAAAAGGATGGTATGTTATTTTATTGAGAGTTGCTTGTCTGCAATTAATTACATAAATTTGTAAAAAACTTCAATTATTTGTGTTCTAATTCTTTTCTCAGATATTTGGATCAATATGACATCATCCAGCATGGCAATACCTGGTGTTAGTATACTGACACTGCAAAATGTCACAGTCCTAAACTCTGGTACCTACAACTGCAGTTTCAAGGTAGAATCACAAATATTCTCTCAGGTGAGTGAGTTTACCACTTCTGTGTTACAGTTTAATGACCTACATGAATTATCTCAGATCTTTAGTAAAATGTGTCTGTCTGATGTAGGTTGTGGAGCTTAATGTCTTGTCACCACCGTACATAAAGGAGGCCCCTGAGTCCCAAACGTATCCCAATGCTCACACAGCGCGGTTTACTTGCGATGCGCAAGGTGTCCCACACCCCAACATCACTTGGTTGAAGAATGGTGAACCAGTAGCTCCCAGTGGTGAGAAATTACCCTCTTATCCTCATATCATATTAAGGGAATCATGAATTGAATTATGAATTGACATTTTGATTTGTATTTCAGGTCGAATTAGGGTTTTGAACAATAAATTGGTGATATCAATGAGTGTTGCCAATGACACTGGCTACTATCAGTGCATGGCTCAAAATGGTGTTGGTGAAAGTTGGGGTCTTGCTCACCTTTTTGTCAATTCCTCTGGCCTCCAAAGTCCCCCCTACAATTTAGTTTGCCAGAAACGTGGTGACAGTTTTATTGACTTGCATTGGAGCACACTTCCAGGAAATTTTCAAGCGTTTACTGTACATTACTGGGCCTCAGGTATATTATCTTGGGTATCTTGAGTTTCATAATAAGATAAGTAGATAAGTATTTTCTATAATCGCTTTTTCCCCTTTGTGATCTAGGCAACAAGGTTGAATACAAGGCAGCATTTTCACAAATTGAATCTTGCAATATTACCGGTCTAGAACCTTTCACAAATTACACTTTCATAGTGCGCTCCTATACCACGAGAGCAAGTGAACCAAGTGAAGAGTTGACTTGTGAAACAAAGGAATCTGGTAAGATCTACTCAAATACATGAGAAAAAAAATTTCTAATGTGAAAATTTATTTCTAATGTTCTGGTTATAGTTCCAGATATTGCTCCGGAGATTACATTGACAGTTATTAGTCCAACTACATTGAACGTTGCTTGGAAACCATTAGACCCTAGGAGAACTCATGGTCATATTACAGAATACAAGGTTCAGTGGAGACAAATCACAAGATCCACTGCAAAAATCAGAGAGGTCCCCGCCAGAACTACAAACTTCACTATTTCAGGTACTGGGTAAAGAACATGGTTTTAAAAACACAGTGTATTATAGATCATGTATTCAAATAATTTTCTAATTTTATCTTAAATTTTAGATCTTATACCAGGAGCGACATATGAGACTAGAGTACTGGCACGAACAAGTCGTGGCTGGCCAATGGCATCTGTGGATGGGAAATTAAAATGGCAGCCCATAGAAATGCCGGTACGGATCCCCACAAACTTCAACCCACTGCCTCATGTTCCGTTCACGACTACTCAAAGTAATTTTATTGGATCTGAAACAATGAGACTAGAACCCCCGTGTTGTTTGGAAGCAGAACCAACTTCTGCTCACACCATTAATCTGACCTGGTCTGCACCGGCTCACCTAAATATTAAATACTTTTCTGTATTTATCAAAGAGGTTCAGTCAAGCCATACCCTTGGCTCCAGTGAACCTGACGTTATAAATTGGTAAGTTATCTTTTATTGGTTTTTACTACATATATAAGCATTGGTGTTGATTAAATGTTATGGATAATTTTCTAATTGTCTTTTTCTCAAAAATTCAGTACTAATCATTGGGTGGAGATTGATGATTTACGCCCCAATACCATTTATGAGCTTGCTTTGAAGGTGTATGATAAAGAGGGGAATAGTAGCCCTATGAGTGAAAAGTTTGAATGCCGAACATTTGAGGATGGTAAGAAACTATCCTTCTATCCCAATGGCTTTTAATTTGAATTAAATTTCAGTTGCATTATAACTGTCATTTTTTCTCAGCACCTGAAGAAGTGAAGGATGTCAGCTGGGAGCCTTTGAATTCATCTATAGTAAAAATAATGTGGAAAGGACCTAGTAGTACTGTGGGCCAATTTAATGTGTCCTTGGTTCCGCTGGATCAAAGTCAAACAATCTTTACTCTTGTAGATGGATCAAAAACAAGCACAGAGGTTTGTTACTTCAATTATTTGTTATTTTTCTTTATCTCTTGGCCCTTAATTCACTAGCATAATAGACTCCATAGAATTTTCTCAATTTTCTAAAGTATTTCCCAATTCCTCTTCTGTTTCAGGTTCTTGGGGTCAAACCTTCCACGCATTACCACTTGACCGTATCAGGTGTCACTCGAGGGGGGACTGGCAAACCATCAGTTGCTCAAATGGTTTATGTTAGTAGTCCAGAAGTTGTTCAAAATCCAGGAGAACAATATCTAAGTGAATCACCTGGTGTGCCTCTCATTAGTAAGTTAAAGTTGCTGTATATGTGCTTCTTTTTGTTGTGGTTGACGTTTTAATTTCTTATTCTTATGGTGGTTTTTACAGCTTTGGGGGTGGCTATAAGTGTTCTAGCACTTATACTTTCAGGTATTGGTGTTGTAGTGATGTTCACCTGGCGAAAAACTAGAAGGGGGCTCCCTGATAATATAACTCCAGCCCAAAGTCCTTATCAGGCTTCTGGCAATGGAGTTCATGGACAAATGCCTTTGACGTCATTTATAACACCTGATACTGATACAAGTCACTACAGATACAATGTAGGCTCTAAACGGTTAGACACTGAAGCCCATGACAGAAGTGATAGCAAAGGAGTCGAGGAAAGCAGTGTTACTCTTTTACCGCCAGGAATAACTCCAACTCCTATTGGTGCAATCAACTCTCCTCAAAACATTGATTCAAATGTAAGATTTGGAAATGCGAATGTGTTATATATTTACATTACTTGATTTAACAATCTCTTTTGTCAAATTATGTAGAATGAGGATGGATTAAGGACAACACCGTGCTGGAGTGGTGGTTTGCTTCCTATGCATTTGTTCCACATCACAGAAAATCCGCAGGTGAGTGAGATTCGTCTTTGCTTATTAGCTATTGAGGAAATTTAATAATTAGATTCAAAATCCACAACTTTGTGTATTTTTCCAGTGTGAATCATCACTTGCTGCTAAAACTCCTCCACTAAGATATGGTCATGATAGGTCAGAAACAAGAAACTCAGAAGAAATGCTGAAGTTATTGCCAGCCAAACCAAGCTCATGTTGTGAATCTGAAGCAGAAGACTTTTGTGAAGAGGGTGACCAAACTGGTGACTCATTAAATATTACACAAATCACAGATGTTGATCATAGTTTCCAGGATAAAAGCAATAACAATAATGATATTCACAATAGTAATGTCAGTTCAAATAGCAACTCTGATGCTGGAAGGAGTAGCAGAAGTAGCAGCATTCTAGAAGAATTGAGTGAAGGAAGCAGTGATGTAACTGAACAACAGTTGCTTGTTACTCTATCATCAGTCCCTCTTCACCATCTAACAACAAAGTCCTTCTTAGATGTACCCAAAGTATCGGTTGTTGGTCCTAATGGATGAAATCTTCTCAAGGATGTGCACATTTTTTTGCCTTCTTCTGGTGCATGTGCTCAAGCATGATTACTGTGTATTAACTGTCAACACTTCAAATCTGACTGTTATGTAGGTTTAATTCTTTATTTTGTGATATAAGAAAAAAGGTTAAAACGCATGAAGCCGCTCAAATACATTTCATCCTATGGCATATCTGGGTAAAATGTAAACATAATTGTGTTTCCTTGTCAAAGTTTTGTGAAAACTCTCTTTAACCAGGCTTGTTTTAGTGATACTGTATTTATTTTTGACGTAAAATTGACTCAAGTGGTATTTTTGCAATGAGTACCAATTTTGTCAAACTCAAAGTATTTAGTTTTTCAGAAATCAAGTTAGTTTTATACAAACAGCTTTGAATATTTTAACTACTGATTTGACATTTGTCTTATTTGAAGCATTTTACAATGTTTGTTTATATTTTTTGGTACTTCCATTTTGTGCTGTATTCTTGTATTTTGTATTATACAGGTATAATTGTCTCGACTGAATCAATTCATTTAGTTGTTTGCTACTAAAATTGGTCCCTAGAACATTTGATAGCCATTGTTTCCGCCATTACTGTAACGGTAAAACGGACCAATTTCATTTCTCAAAGAAGACCAAGCATGGAGACTGAATCTATTGCATAGTAACTGTAGATTTGGCCATTTTGAGGCTATTTGTAACAAATCTGGCTTTTTGCAATCACAAGCCTGTAGTAGAGTAGAAAATAGTTTAAGTTTTCCTCTGGATCCTCTGGAATTGCATTTCTGCTGCTCTCAAAAGTGCTTTTATTTCATTCAAAATTTCCACTTTTACAGAATATTCAACAGGTACACACTTTTCATAATTTAAAAAAAAAATAAAAAAATGTGGCAATTATTTTGTTAGTTATCATATTTATGTAAGTAAATTGGAATGCAATTACTGTGATCCAGATTGTTGGCTGTGCATTTGTTTATAGGGTATTTGAACTAGTTACTGGTGCAGGCAAATACTGTGCTTGTTTCAAATTGGACTGCTTTTACAGTAGTGTAGTCCTCTTGTTTTCAGTGTCACATCATACTATGAAGTACTGTAAAACATCAAAACAGCTCAATTGTATATAACATAAATTATTCATTTTGTATTGTACTTGTTTTGCAGTGTTAGCTAGTTTGGCAGTTTTATTCTTTTTGAGAAGCTGAGATCATTGTAATCTACTGTCAGAGCTCTCAAAGTTGCCATCATGTACAACTTGTGCAGCTAGACTGTGGCAAGCAATTTAGTCTCTGTAGTCATAGTACAAAGTTATTAAATGGTTATTATTATTATTGGTATTATCCATTATTATTATTATTATGTATGTATTCTTATTATTGTTGTTGTCTACACTGTAGCGAAAACCATGCTAAAAATGGTTGGAAAAGAAAACTGTTACATACATTCCATTGATATATTTATCTTAAGTTTCCAGCTTGCCTAAGTGTCTTTATAAACTTTTTTCTGTTATTTGTTTTGTCTTGTCTTGTTTGACGCCTTCCTTTCCTTTTAATTCTTATTCTATTACCTAAATGTATTTACAGAAATCAATGTTGGTTGAACTTAATGTAGGTAGGTAATTAACCTCTCGTGTGACAAATTTGCATTCATTTCTTTGTCTGTTAAATTTGCGTTATTTGTAGAGAATCTCAAGATCATGTCATAGTACATGTATTCGTTTCTATTTAGTTCAACCTTTCCTTTGACAAATTTACGGGTATATACTTTGAGAAACTTACTTTTTTTATGTCTATATGTTTGTTTTACGTACAGTAATGTGTATCACTGTTTTACTTAGCGTACAATTTTAACATATGTGAAATATTTGCGTTTGTCCGATTTGACCTGCTTTGAAGATAGGTAATTATTGTTCCATTCCATTCTTTTCCATTCCTACTCTTCCATTCCATTTCAGTTAAGTTCATTTTAGATATTTCCTTGATTTTCTCATAGTTCCTATTTCCTATTCTCCTCATTTCCTTCAAATGTGTTCTGTGATAAAAAGAAATTCTCTGAAATTTTTTATATACATTCATGACTTCTTTATCCTAAAGTAATGGTTGTACTTAAATCTAAAATTACTCAACTTCCATCCCTCTTCAATTTTGTTTTAATTTTACTTACATCTAAGTTTAGGGGCCCCATGAAATAATTTTCATTTCATTGCGCAAGGTGGGATATCGAAACAATATTGTTTATGTGAAAACCGATATGAAAATGTCATGATATGTTTTCAATAGTCATTTCGCTTTGGATTGCATTTGTTTCCAAATGCTGTCCATAACTTTGTCCATCTTTACAGCGAGTGACCTTGCCTCCTCACTTTCACTAAAGTTTACTCTGGAAGAAAATCTCACCTTTGGTATATTCATACATTTTTTGTGCATAAATTAAATTTCTGTCTACATCTGAGACTTTTTGAATACATACTACACAACCAATGAGAATATCTCTGAACAGGTTTTCTCTGTCATTGTTATCAATGGACTCCATGAATGAACTCCACTCATTTCTTAAAATTAAAGTGTTCAATCCCTTCTATCTTTAACATTCTTCTCATCCATACCAAAGTAATTCCATTGTAAGTCAATAGCATTGTCAAGTTTTATGAATTATCTTGTACCATATAGTTTTTGTAACTTGCTGATCAAAGGACCTAACACCAAATACTTTATTATGTACCTACTCAGTTGTTGCTTGTCATATGCTTCAGTTTCTTTGCTATTGTACAAATGTTGACTGTCATTTTAAATGCTAAGGGAAAGGTGCATCTAAACAGAAGATTAATATGTAAGATTCACATACATCTACCTCACATTTCCTACTGTAAAAATTAAACTCTGTAGATATATAGGGCTTATCTAATTGTTCAGGTTATCTATTTTTTTCTAGGATTGAATTAGAGCTGTTCATTTTCCTGTGTAAGTTGTTGCGTGATTCAAAACAAGCAAAGTCGACTCCAATGTTGCTGAAAACATTAAGGCTGGTTTGACATCGGCAACAAGTTTTGTAGCAATCCTTTACTGTGTCCCGCAGGGAGATTTACTATTCCATACATAACATACTGGTTTGTATGTACTATTGGTTAATTATTACTAAATATTAATTCAATGTTGTCATGGTGGGCATAAGTCCTTAAGATGCTTTGTTTATTTATTATTATTATTTTGCATGAAGGCTTATCAGATTAATAGTCCGGCGTCATTACTCGACACATCATTCTAAATTTTTGGGACCATTCAAAATGTCAGATGAAGAGAGTGCGTTTTTCTTTTTTATAAGAAAAGGGGATCTCATTTCATGAGGAAAGCCTCCTCACCTCAGTTTAAGTGCGTTGCCTCAGGTACATGCCTATTTGAGATTATTATCATCAAACTGGTTAGTAGTGGTCTTATATTGGAACATACTTGACGCAAACCACCTTAGCTGATGGTGAGTCATAAGACTATCATGGAACTAAATCCTCCTAAATGGTCCAAGATTATTAACTGTGTTATTGAAGCCTGTGGCATTGTTAATGTTTGACCCACAACTAGCTCAAAAAAAGTAACATATCATTACTTTGATATATTACTTGAAACAAAATGTTATCAATGAACCTGAACAGCTACTTCTTTCCCCTCTCAGAGATCACATAAACAAGAGGTAGGCATGGTATATGTAATACATTAATGCTATGCTCTTTGCTTCATTTGTATTATTCTGTTTTGAAACATTGATCTGCAGAAACACCATGTCATTTGTGATGATTGTACTTTTTCTATTTGTTGCTGTAAGGTTTAAAACTTGTAATAATTTGGTTATTTTTTATTTTCCTCATGACCTATGAGAATATATATTACAATTTTTTTACTTGTCATCGGTATTACTGACCTCACTTCCCCATCACAATCAATCAAACTGCAGTTTTAAATCCCATTTTCACAAAAATATAGCTCTTTTCAAACAAATCTAACAGAAAAGTTATTTAAAATCTGTTGACTTTTCTTGGTCTCGAAGCAGTTGTGTCAGAGCAGTTTGTTGATCCAGCAGAACCATATTTTGTCTTCTCTTCATATCTTGAACTTCCATATCTCTGACAACACCTTGATGCATTCTATCTCTAAAGAAAAATAAATGGAATTCATCAGGTTTGGCAAAAGAAATTACATTGGAGCTCTTATGATTTTCAACGTTGAACTCACCGATCTAGCTGTTGTTTGTAGTGAACGCCGAAAATAATGCCCGTGGAAGCAACACATGAAACGACTAATACAATCTTGGATCTAGTTGACATTTTACACGGTACAGATTAGAAAGAAATCACAATGTTCTCTAACACTCATGACCATAACCTGCGAAAGGTGTAACAATTGCAGTCGACAGAAGAAACTATGCAATTTGACATACGAATTAAGCTAAGTACATAACAAAAGAACAGACGAATGGTTCAAATGGTTGAATCTGTGTATCAGATACTTGAGTATAATAGTGCAAATCTTCTAGTTCTTATGTTTTTGAGCGTAAACATGAGATATGTCAAGGAGAACACAACAAGCAGACTATTCTGCTGATCGAAAATGTTCTCATATGGTGTAGAATTGCCAACCATCGTGACTAAACATAAAAACAGAACCAAAGATTGCAATTTAGACGAAAAATAAAAATAAAAACCTGCGTGAAGTGAGATATGAATAACCAGAAACCTAATTTCCAAATCAATTTTGACCAGGATTCCCCCCCCCCCCCCCGTTACTGAATGGGGGGTACGGGGTACGGGTTTGGGGGGGGGGGAGCAGGAGCAGGAGAGGGGAAGGGGGAAGAGAAGGGATGAGAAGGGGTTGTCAAACTACCCAAGGGGTTGGGTTGACTTAACATCACATCAATATGGTGAACTTTAATTGAATAACTTCTTGTCTACCTGTTTTCCCCATCCGTGCTACTAAGTATCTCGTGATATTTTGCTTTCCCCAAAATTCAACATGATTCACAGCCTCTTCATCATTAACTCCTCCGGGTAAGCAGACCACGTACTCCATCCTTAGAAACATAACCTCATCTTTTGACAGAATACTTTGGTAAACAAGACTTTTCCAAGTTTTAAATACAACCTCTTAGAGATCCCACTTTATTATTTTCTTTGTATATTCAAAGTAACCCTGGGATCACCCTACTATTTCACTTTTCCCTGTTTCAGAGATGTTTTTATGGAGAAGCACTGGAAAAGTGTTATATCACGATCAGTGTGCGATTACTTCTTTGACCAACAACGTAAAGTCTCCTCTCCAGAAGATGTTCCTCCGGTCATTGCAACTCCTCATCATTATCTCATTAGCGTTTATCGGTGTTCAATGTTTTTTGTGGCTGTTTGCATGACTGAGGGTAAGACATCACAGTTGTTATCAAATCTTCATTAGCGCATGACCTTTTATCCCTGATAAAAAAATGTTTGTTGCAGTTCCTCCATTATTCGTGATTGAATTCCTGCACACAGTTGTGTCTACTCTAGAAGATTATTTCAGTGAATGCTCTGAAAGTCTCATAAAGGAGAACTATGTGGTTGTATATGAGGTAACTTCACTGCTGTAAACATAGCACTTGTGTGCAGCATCCAGCTGTGTCCTTAACATCATTGTAATGTTTTAGCTTCTTGATGAGATGCTTGACAATGGATTCCCTCTTGCCACTGAGTCAAACATATTGAAGGAGCTAATCAAGCCACCAAATATACTGCGCACTCTTGCAAACACAGTCACAGGAAAATCCAAGTAAGGGTGGAACTCCAATAGAGCAATCTACGCTACCGATCACCCATCATCCATCACCCATCACCTGTGATTTTGTGTATTTACGCGTACAACTCGGGTTGTGGTTAAGACTTAGGATGTCTGTGAACAATAAATATGACTATACACCTTATCATTATATTTTGCCATGTAAAAACACGAAATTGCACGTGATGGGTAACCGGTGATGGGTAGCATAGATTTCTCCATTAGAGATCCACCTTAAGTTTGATCTTTTTTGATGGGTAACCGGTGATGGGTAGCAT